TACTTTATTTTTTTTTAAAGCAAAATTTGGCAATTCTTTTTGGGAATAATTGACTTGGAACAGAAAGGGAAGCTGTTACTATTTTAAGAAACTCCGTATCCAGGTGAAACACAGTCTCCTGTTTCTGAAAAATGATGATACATCGTGCATTAGTCTCTGCCCTCCAATAGCGTTGAGGACTGAACAGGTTTTTTTTGGAGAGGGGACTAATGTAGTAAATTTGATAGAAAGGAGTCGAAGAAGGAGAAAACATGAGGCATTTTTATTTCTCCAAAGATCAGTGAGGTTCTAGGCATAAATACACAGGTGGGAAAATCTCAGATGATCAGATGACATGACAGGGAAAGCCAGGGATAAAGGACACGCATGACAACAGATTCTGCTTCTAGTTTTTCTTGTCTCCTGTATTTCAACCCATTTATTGCGTGCCAGCCACTGTTCTTATACCTCCCTACAAAGTTAGTACTATTATTATTATTCCCATTTTACAGATGACTCTCTGAGAACACAAATTCCTTGCCAAGGTTCCACAGCTAGTGGGTGGCAGAGCTGGGACCTAAGCCCAGGTCTGTTAGACAACAAGTGTGAGTGTGCTCACATTAGTTTTCTATTGCTGCTGTAAGAAATCTCCCCAATTTTGGTGCCTTACAAGAACGCAAATATATTATCTTACATTCTGAAGGTCAGAAGTCGAAAATGGGTCAGCTTCTGGAAACTCGAGGGGAGTATCTGCTCCCTTGCTCTTTACAGCTTTGAGAGGCCCCCTGCATTCCTTGGCTCATGGTCCCTTCCTTCCTGTCAAGGCCAACACGGCAGAATCTTCTAATCTCTCTCTCTCTCTGTGACATCTGCTTCTCTCCCTCCCGGCCCCCCCTGCTTCCCCCTCGAAAGGCCCTTGAGAGTACATTGGGCCCACCCGGATATAAAAGTTATGCTAGAGATAATCCAGTGAATGTCAAATTGTAATGACAGCCTTTATGAGCATCAACATTAAATCCAACCCAGCACAGGTAGCTTTCTCCATGTGTTTACCCACCTGCCAGGCACTATTCTAAGTATTTCACATGTATCAACTCATTTCAGCCTCACGATGATCTTAGAAGCTTGGCTCCACCAGGAATATCGTTCCCATTTTACAAATGAAAGGACAGAGGCTCAGAAACTTGTCCAAGCTCAGAGAGCAGAGCCACGATTCAAATCCCGCATCCTGGTTTCTTATCTTTCCTTCCTACTGCCACCCCCGCTTCTTAATAAGCCCTCCCAGGAAATGTTCCTGCAGGGTGATTAATTGTTGAATCGTAGTGGGGAAAATATAGATAAAGAGAAGGAACACAGTCACCCAGAATCCCACTCACCCCTTTCTCTGGTGACTTTTCTCTATGCGCATATGTATATGTATACCCCACCAGAGATGAATACAGATGTGCATCAAAAGATTTGGTCAGAGAATTCTGTCAAAAGGATCAAAAAAGGCCCCCAGAATCCTACTTTTATACCCCCTTAAAAACTGCACTGAAAATGATAACTTAGTTAATAACCTGGGGAAAACAGCAAGAGGGTGATAATAGGCTGCCTTCCTCATTAAATGGGATAATCACTCCAAAGCGAGTTGCACAGGGCTCAAGTTGTCAGTGAATGACAGGCAGAATTCTGACCTCAGAGGATTAATCTAAACTCTTTACAGATTCTCCAGCGGGCGCCCGGATAAGTTGAAAGCAAGGCTGCAGGGAACTAGAGCTAAATGCAACGAACCCATGACTCACCAAAATGTGATTCTCTTGTTTCCCTTGTCCTGTGAAGGTATTCGCACAGCAATATGCTATTCCAGACTGTCGTCCTGTGTTTCTGTAACCTGTTTTCCTCCTTTTAGGAATTCCTTCCATATATAAATATATATGTATATATATAAATATTGGGGAGGAAAAGAGGGAAAGACGTAGAAAAGGAGGGAGAGAGGGACCGAGGGAGGGAGAAGGGGGCGGTGCTTTCTCAATTCCCAACACTATGTTCTTCTGTTCATCCTACACACTCCTTGCCCTTGCGTCCTATACTACAAATAGGGGAATAATCGTATAATTATGATAGAGAAAGTAATTTCCATAGGGCGTATTATATTCTCAATGCCTCTCAATGTCTTGAGAACATCTACAGTTTGTAAATTATATAAATGGTACGATTCTCATTTCAAAGCCCATGCATTCCAATGGCCAGCTTTTACCCCATTCTCATCAAAGGCTACTGCTATAAATACAATCCATTTTGTGTACATCAAAGTATAAGTTTGACCCACAGGGTTTAAAGGCAGGAAGAAACTTGGGGCCTTTTTCTCATCCAGGGATTGCCTATCCTGGCAGTGCGTCAGAATCCTCTAGAAAGCTCCCAACCTTAGCTTATTGTAGATAGAGGCTATGGGAGGGGACCTGCCATCTAAGCTTTTAATAAACTCCTCAGGAATGATATTGTGATATAGAATAAGAAATACCTATTTGGTCTTCATCCTCATTCCGGGCACAGACCGCCTCTAAAACTTATCATATAAATGGTAAGAGCCATGAAGACGTCTTTTGTTATTCATAACAAGCCAGCGCCTTTTAACTACCTCTGAGTTTATGTTAATGAGTGACTTTGGAAAGCCCCTAAGGATGGGGGCCCTGGTTGCCAGGGGAACCAGCCTAGTGATTAGAGGGTTGGAACTTTCCACCCCATCCCCCATCTCTGGGGAGGGGAGAGTGGCTGGATATTGAGTTCCATCACCAATGGCCAATGACTTAATCGATCATGCCTGTGTAATAGAGCATGCACAAAAATCCCTACAGTACAGTGTTCCGAGAGCTGGACTGTGAGTACCTGGGGGTGCGGGGAGGGCACGGAAGCTCTGTCACCCCCAGGTCCTCCTACCTTGCCCTATGCCTCCCTTCCATCTGGCTGTTGCTGAGTTGTATCCTTTTATAATAAACTGGCCATCTAGTAAGTCGACTGTTCTCCTGAGGTCTGTGAGCCGTTCTAGCAAATGACTGAACCTGAGGTGGGGCTCATGGGAATCTCTGATTTGTGCAGGTCCCCTGACGCCCACCGCTTGTGACTGTCAACTGAAAGTGGGAGGCAGTCTTGAGGGACTGCGGCTTCAGCCTGTGGGTGCTGATGTTAACTTTAGGTCAACAGAGTCAGAACTGCATTGAGACGGAGGACACCCAGAAGCGTCACAGAATTGCTTGGTATGGAATCCCCACACATTTGGTGTCAGATGTGGTGTGAGTAGTGGAATATAAAGAAAGGAGTTTTCCCCTAACACTAGGAGATTCTAAAACCTCTAGAACCAATAATAGGACTCATTTCCTCATTGCTCAGAAGAAGAAACTGAAGCCCAGAAACTTACAGGCAAATGACAGGAACCATAATCATAAAATAATAATGACAGCTAATACATAGAGCACTTACTATGTGGCAGGCGCTGAAATAGGTGCCTTATTAAATCCGATACTTATGTTGTAGGTACTATTGTTATCCCACTTTACAGACAAGGAGACTGAGGTTCAGAGAGCTTAAGTAACTTGCTTAAGGTCACACAGCTGGCAGCTGGCAAAGCCAGCAGTTTGATTCCAGAGTTCTTACCCTTAACTACTTCTTCTTCTTATATAAGTTTATGTATATACTCTGCAAAGTAGAACCTGTCCACTTTTCATACACTGAATGTGTAGTGTTCTACTGCAGGACAAATAAAATAGGTAAGTATATCGTCCCATTTTAAAACTGGCCTTGTCTAGGGAATATTCTGTTGCCTTGTCTACTTAACTGGTTTCTGTGGAGTTCCTAAGTGCCAGGTAATACGTAAATGCTTAATGGACAGGCTCCTTTAATCCTCTTGGGAACAGTGTGATGTATGTGTTCTTATCCCCAGAGGACAGCTGAGAAAGCCGAGGTTTAGAAAGTGAAATGGCTTGTCCAGATCACACAGCTAGTCCATTGCAGAGCAGGGACTTTTTTTTTTCTTTTTTTAAGATTTCCTTTATTTATTTGACAGAAAGAGAGCACGAGCACAAGCAGGGGGAGTGGCAGGCAGAGGGAGAGGGAGAAGCAGACACCCCACTGAGCAGGGAACCTGACATGGGGCTCGATCTCAGACCCTGGGATCATGACCGGAGCCGAAGGCAGATGGTTCACCGACTGAGCCACCCAGGCGCCCCGCAGAGCAGGGACTTTAACCTTGGTCTGTCCAACTCCAAATGCCAACCTCTTAGTGTTTTCACTCTTTTGCTTTTGTGTTATCTGCTGGAGATCCCTGGCCTCTTCCAGCAGTTACGCATACTCAGAAGGGATGGGTGCTGCTCAGGGTTGAACTCTATCCACCAGTGCCTGTGACTTCATTTGGAAACAGGGTCTTTGCCAATGACCACGTTAAGATGAGGTCAATTAGGGTGGACATCAATCCAATGTGACTGTGTCCTTATAGAAGGGGACATGTGGACATGCAGATGGACGTGCATAGAGGGGACAGCATCTGGAAGCCATGGAATGCCTTGAGGCTCCTAGGAGCTAGGACAGAGGCAGAGAACAGAGTCCCGCTTGCGGTGCTCAGAAGGCGCCAACGTTGCCGATGTGGTCGGGCTGTGGTACAGAGGATTGTCCATGGTGATGAGGACTGTCCCCTAGCCGGGACTACCCATCACCATCACTGGGTTCCTCTTCTCTCCTACTTCCCCACTTCCCCACTGGCTCATGGTCTCTACCTTCATTTTTGTGTCTGTGGTTTTACTTTTTAATATAACTGAATACAATCAAAAGAAAAGACTTGGGGCCTCCAGCACTGTGAGACAACACGTTTCTGTTGTGTAAGCCACCCCGTTTGTAACACTGTCTCGGTAGCCCCAGGATACTAACACTAATGTTTTCAAAGCGAGCCTGTGACTTCAAGCCTTGCATTTTCTTTTCACCATGTACAGGATCCGCAGACCCTTCCCCACCCCCCAAGGAGCAGCCCACCTCCCCCATGTGGCACTGACCTTCATCATAGAATGGAATGTCGTGGGTCGATATGATCACCGGTGTCCCGTTTTGACCACACTTAATCTCAGATGCCACCTGCAACAGAACATGTGGCATTTGTAGTCAGATGTTTGGGGAAAATCAGAACTTAGGGAAGAACCTCAAGGCCATAGGGTACATCACTGAATTATACTTAATTTAAAGGCTGTGTTTCTGGAAAGTAGCCAGCTTCCCATCATGCTTCAGGAAACTAAGTAACCCGTTCACCTCAAACGGGTGAGCCCCACAAACACAGGCAGGATGGACCCCGTTGTACAGATGAGACGCCCAGCTAACAGACACTTGTCTAATCAGTGGGGAGCAAGAATTTGATACGCTGATCCCCGAACCCCGTGAGATTAACCACATGCTACCAACCCGCACACATAGCACGGTCCCCAGCCCAGCCCTTAGTCAACAAACTTGTCAAATACAGGAAGTTCGCTGTTGGCTTTCCTTCTGCTCCACACCCTCTCTGTCCAACCTCGCTGTTTTCCCAATTTCCTGCCCTGATTGTTTTTATTCTTGACATTTGCTGCAGGTATTTAAAAAGCTTGTATATGTATTTATATATATGTGTGTGTACGTACGTACACATACACTCACACAGAAAGAAAAATGTTCCAAGAGTGAATGTATGTTACATAATGCTATTTTAGTAATAAGGCCATCTAAATTATACCACCAATCGTTGACACTAATTGGATACTGATTATGTGCTAAGCACTCTGCACGCGGTATTGTATTTTGCGAATACCATCGGTAGTTTAATACATGTGAATAAGTGCCCAGAGAGAAAACTATAGTCTGAATGGCAGCTCCTGACAGTGGGAACCTTCTGGAGGGACACAGAAGGCTTTTCCTTTCTTTAGGTTTTTATAATGGTCTTAAGTGTTTAAAATAAGCCTGCTTTCTTGAATCTATCATTAACCCTCCCAAGAAATCACAACAAGGAAACACCTAACCTGTGTGACCATTTGGCTCCGAGCTCACGACCGGCATCCCTTGGGGCAATCCTGGATGTGCCAATTTGATTTCTTTGGCTTGCAGAGTTTTTGTTTTCAAGTCTTTGGGAATCAGTTGCCAATATTTAAAAAGCAGGAGATTTCATTAACACTGCTTTCCAACTGCTAATGACAAACCAGACTGGGAACATCTGGTTGGTTCCTGTCGGCCAGAGCCCACCATCTGCAAATGGACCCTTGGTCCCCGGTCCCCTGAAGGTCCTGCCCGCCTGCTTCCCTCCCTTCTATCACCTCCGAGCCCCTGGAGACCAGAGGCTCCCAGACTAGGAGTCACTTGGGAGCTTGAGAGACTCCTGATGCCTGAGCCCCCACCCAGAGGCTGCATTTCAGTTGCTGTCCGGTGGGGCCAGGCAGCAGGAGTCTGTCTGCAAAGCTTCCCAGATGATGTACTCAACAGTCAGGCTTGCTACCCACTCTGCGGGCACTGGAGTTTTTAGCCCATTTCTTCAAATCCAGCCTTCTATTCTGAGCAGGAATTCTCCAATGATATGATCAATATTAGTTCATAGGGGGTTGTAAACCTCCTATGGGGGTTTCCATGTTCACTGGGCTCCAAATCTTAAATGGAATCGATTTCAGAAGCACTGGATGGTAGAAATGTAGGGTTTCTGCCACTTGGTCGTAGAAGATCTAAGGAGCAGCGCTGGGGTGTCCCTGGCCTTAGCTCTCCAGAGCAGTCTCCTAAAGAAAGCATTCCTAAAGTAGTGCCCCAACTCAGCTGCCCCGAAAATGCAGATGCCTGCCCTCACTCCCACGCAGATTCTGGTTTAATTGGTCTAGGATGCTACGCCTGCCAGGTGATCTCAATGTGTAGCCAAGGCTGCGAGCTACTGACCTGAATCTGGGTTTGCCATCCTCAGCACCACTGACCTTTGGGGCTAGATCATTCCCTGTTGTGGGGGCTGTCCTGTGCACTGTTTAGCAGCATCTCTGGACTCTAGCCACTAGATCAGTAGCCCTGAGCTGTGACAATCAAAAATGTCTCCAGACACTGCCACGTGTCCCCTGGTGGGGCGGGGGGCAGGCAAAATCACCCACAACTGAGAACCACCTGGCGGTAGGTACCAAACTGGCCCCATACGATGCACCTTGGAGGTCCTCAAAGACAGTTTTCATAGACTCCCAGCCTTGTAATTTTGGATTCAGTAAGTCTTAGGTGGGGCCTTAGAGCCTGCATCTTTTTCTTTTTTTAAGATTTTAATTTATTTATTTGTCAGAAAGAGAGAAGGAGAGAGGCAAGCAGAGGGAGAAGCAGGCTCCCCACTGAGCAAAGAGCCTGATGTGGGGCTCGACCCCAAGACCCTGAGATCATGACCTGAGCCGAAGGCAGACGCCCAACTCACTGAGTCACCCGGGTGTCCCTAGAGCCTGCATTTTTTTTTTCTTTTAGTATTTTATTTATTTGACAGAGAGAGAGACAGCGAGAGAGAGAACACAAGCAGGGGGGGTGGGAGAGGGAGAAGCAGGCTTCTTGCTGAGCAGGGAGCCCGATGTGGGGCTCGATCCCAGGACTCCGGGATCGTGACCTGAGCCGAAGGCAGACGCTCAACGGCTGAGCCACCCAGGCGCCCCTAGGGCCTGCATCTTTAACAAGCTCCTGGATGGGGGCGCCTGGGTGGCTCAGTTGGTTAAGCGACTGCCTTTGGCTCAGGTCATGATCCTGGAGTCCCGGGATCGAGTCCCACATCGGGCTTCCTGCTCAGCAGGGAGTCTGCTTCTCCCTCTGACCGTCTTCCCTCTCGTGCTTTCTATCTCTCATTCTCTCTCTCTCTCAAATAAATAAATAAAATCTTTAAAAAAAAAAAACAAGCTCCTGGATGGATGCTGGAGGTTTGAGTACAACTGAAGAATCCCTGGGACAACAGCACATCATCAATAATGTCTATGTGATGAGCACTGAAAAGGCCATTTCCTCTGCTGTCATCCCCAAGTCTAGCTACCAGTAGCTAATGACCCAGTAGCTAATGATCTTGCTCAGCTAGTAGTTAGGTGACCCTGACTACACTACCTTGTTAGCGTCTGTCTCCGATTCATTCTCTTGGTCTTCAACTCTTTGTGGGACGCTCATTTGGTTACCCATTGTTCCTGCAATAGAGAAAAAAAGAGAAAGAGAAAAATTAAAACCCAAGACAAATGAAAGTCTTATTCCCGCCTATGAAGTTAAGTGCAGAGAACTGACAAGTTACTGTGGATGTATTACCACAAGCCCAGGTTAGGTCAATTGCTTATACTTATTTTGGGGGATGAGAAAAGATTTGGGACTCATATTCAGTAGAATTTAAGTCAAATGCAACCCCAGTTTTCAACTGCTGGGAGGAAATAGCTATCATTGAAAAGTATATTCAGTATAGATACCATTTTTTCCCCCTTCTAACCAAACACAGCTATGGAATCAAGGAAATTTTAGAATGAGGATAATTAAAATAATACTTATAATTTTTAGTATTCTCTGATCATCAAACTGAATTAGATTCCTTGTTAAAAGCCCTCATAGCACTGGTTTTTTTGTTTGTTTTTGATTTTCATAGCGCTCAGTGCTACTTGTAATTATATATTTATTTGGCTGTGTTTTCATTCATTTATTGATTCAACAAATACATACTGGGTACCAACTCTGTAGCTTATGCTGCGCCAGGCACGAGGGTTATGGCTATGCATTCAACAGACTAGGCCCCCTGACTTCACAGAGCTAAAGTCTGGTGGGTAGATAATAAACAAGACAATAAATCCATCAGACAGGCCAATTCTGATAGTTCAAGGCAGCATGGTACAATGATTAGGAGCGCAGAGCCCGAGCAAGACAACCTGGCCTCGAACCCTCTCTCTGCTTCTCCTTGCTGTGTGTCCTTGTGTGAGTTAATTAGGCTCTCTGTGCCTCACAGGCCTGCTATAAGGACTCAACGATTGATGCCTGTAAAGTGGTAAAAACAATGGGGGGCTTGGTATAAGTAATATCTAAGTGTTAAACCCAATGGTTTAGGCAATGAACAAAAGTAAATTGGTAATATAACAAGGACCAGGCTAGGGCTCAGGAGGCAGAAGTTCTGGAATGAAGTAACAATGGATCCACACTGGGAGGGCAGAACAGAACATTTAGCTTCTGTGTCCCTTCCCCAATACACTGTAAGCATCATGAGGCCAGGTCTGTCTGTCTTTACCCGCTGTTGTATCTTCTATTCTCACCGCGGTGTTTGCATTTATCAGGTGCTAATTATTAGTTATTGGTGGGAAGGAGGGACTTAATCATTGATAATTACGCCTCCCCTTGCCTGGACTGAGCTAGGCGTGTGCCCACATCGTTACTAAGCCTCTTGAGAGCCTTGCTTTAATAATAATGATAAAAGTCAACAATTATTTATCACGTTCTCAGTTCCCAGCACTGGTTCCTAAGCATGCTCCCTGTGTCAGTTTATTGAACCCCACAGCACCCCCGTAAAACAGGTGTTGTCATCATCTCATTCTAGATATGAAGAAGTTGAGGCTGAAATACTTTCCAAAGGTCACCCAGGTAATGATGGCAGAGGCAAGATTCAAACAGGCTGCCTAGGCTCCTAACCACTGGAATGTTCTGCATATTATTACCTCCCTTCGAAAGGAGGGAATCAGGTCCCCAAAACTCACCCAGGAGAGACATCCGGGAAATGCAGAGTGAGAGTCTGACCCAGAGGATGCCTGGTCTCAGAAGTAGGGCTCTTTCAGACATTCTAGAGCCCTGCTGCCTTGAGACCTAAAAGTTTCTTTTTCACACACACAAATAATGTATGTTTGAGGAGCCTTGGGCTCCTCAGCTCTGGTAGCTTTCAGAATAAAAGCCAGGACTTCTGATTTCTGGTTAAAGCAGCCCATGCGTCTCCCAAGGATTCCCCCGGGTTTCGGGCCCACGGTATAAAGTTTCATGCCCTGGTAATAGACACACTGAGTCATCAGAAATTTCAGAGGCCAGAAAAGGGTCATAGATCTTACCCCTTGCTCCCTCGGGGGAATTTGATCGATAACAGGATCTGGGGATTTTATGTGTTTTCTAATAATACCAGGTAATAAAGCTGAGCACTTGCTAACACATACAGGACACTAGTTATTTTGCAAGACTTCCTACTTATAAAACCCATGACATGCATACTTACAATAGACCATCACTTCCATCTCTAAATGGGCATCACAAATATAATATTGAATCTTCAAGACTGGGGTGGGCAAACAACAGCTGTGGGCCAAATCCAGCCCACTGCCTATTTCGGTGTGGCCAGTGAGCTAAGAACAGGCTTTACGTTTATAAATGGTTGGAAAAAAAATCAGAAGAAGAAACATAGATTGTGACACAGGAAGACTATATGCACTCCAAATTTTGGTATCTATAAGTAAAATTCTGGGGGTGATAGCCACGCCCATTCATTCACGTCTTGTCAACATGGGGCTGTTTTCATGTTACAAACACAGAGTTGCAGAATTGCAACAGAGACTAGATGGTCTAAAAAGTCAGGCCTTTTCCAGAATGTTTATCAACTGCTGCTGGAGATCACCCTGAGTGATATATACCTAGCTTGCGAATAAGAGGATTGAGGGAGCTGAGAGACAGTGTTGGCGGTAGTTAGACTGACCAGGATTTGAACCCACTGTGTATGAAAATAAAGATTACAACTCTAACAACCACAGTGATGACAAAATAGTGACAACAACAACCAAATTGGTGAGTGATTACCATGTGTTGAGAAACTATTCGAAGGGCTTTACTTAGAGTAAACTCATTGACTTCTTGTCGCATAATCGCAAAGCATGGGTACCATTATTTCAATTTTACAGACAAGGAAACTGAGGTTAGTAGGTGTAAGGCCTTGACCAAGGCCACGCACAAGGATAGACACGCAGAAGATTATGTCACCACCTGAGCCCAGCTTTTTACAAAATTAAAAATGAGTCACCCATGGGTTTGCAAACTTTTCAAGCTCTTCTTATTCAGTTCGGATTCAGTCCAATTTGGGGGGCTACTTTCAAAAAATGTTTGAGGTCATGAAAAATCTCGGGCTGCAAGAAATGTGATGTGAGCAGACAGGAGAACTTTTCATCCCACAGAGCTGGGGCTCCTCCGTTTTCCTGATAACTGTGGATTTGAAGTAGCCTCTTGGCAAATTCGGGGCCAAGTGAACAGAAAGAAGGACACTGCATTCGCCCGTCTTTTGCAGGGATATCCTGGATTCACAGAATATTCCTTCCCATCAGCAGCTAGAACACGGGTGTTTTGAAATGGTTCCTGCTCTTCCTTCAGATTTTGTGTGAAGAGCAGGATTTACATGGGACAAAAACAAAAGGTTCCTGCCACCTATTGGCCATTGTCAGTATCGCAGAAATGAATACAGTCAGCCTCCAGGGCGGGGTCAGACTGTTGGGGGAGGTCAAGGGGAACAATTTCACATTTAGCAATTACAGCTTCTGTTAAAGGTTGGCCCGAGCATGGAAAGTCCTCCCCTGCCCTAAAGATAGTACAGCTTAATAAAACAATCATGATAATCACAACTGATGTGTAGGGAGAGGGAGCCGTGTGCCAGCCCAGCGCTGAACAATCTAGGTAGAGAGCCACGTAGCACGTAGGATAAGGATGAAAATGATCCAGGGCAAGTTACCAAGCCTTGATGGGCCTCGGTTTCCTCTTCTGTAAAATGGGGATAACAAGGGCGCCTGGGTGGCATGGTCAGTCAAGCGTCTGCCTTTGGCTCAGACGGAAAGAAGGACACTGCATTCGCCTGTCACGATCCCAGGGTCCTGGGATGGAGCCCTGTATCCCACTGGGCTCCCTGCTTAGCAGGAGTCTGCTTCTCCCTCTCCCTCTAGTCCTCCTTCCCTCTTATGTTCCCTCTCTCTCTCAAATAAATAAATAAAATCTTTTTAAAAAAAATTTTAAGAATGTGGATGACAATAGCACCCACCTTGGGTTGTTGCAAGAATTAAATGAGTTACTCTAGGCAAGGTGCAGGGAAGAGAGCCAGGCACACGGTGGGCACCATACAAGTGGCAGCCGTGATTCGGGTTGTCATCTTCATTCTCATGCAGATTTGCAGGCAGTTTACCCCAAAGCTCCCTGATAGTGAGAATCAGCTGAGGAACACAGCATCACCTCTGATTCCCAACATTCTCTCACCAAAAAGTTGGGCTGGAGCCCTGGATCTGTATTTTTAGTAAATGCATGGGGGAGTCTCATAATCAGGCACACATGGAGAATACCATGATGGTGAGCATCAGTCCGGGCTGTCCTGGGAAGGAAGGTGTTCGGATGTGCAGGACTTTCCCGCTAAAACTAGGAAAGTCCTCCCTCCAATCCCCCACTCCCCCACCAGGGCAAACTAGGATGAGCTGATCTCTCTACAACCCAGCTCAAGGACTCTGGAACGCAAGGCCTCTTTACCCCCAGTTAACAGATGGCAAAACTGAGGCTCAAGGTGGTTCAGACAATAATTCCTGTCTGTGATGGGGTTTTCTCCAGTGTCCAGCAAATGAGAAAAAATAATCAGACAAGGAGTTTTTCCATCAAGAAAGCTGTATTCATTTGGAAGAGCCAGTTTTTATATTGAAAACGAATCAAAAAAACCCCACACACAAAAAAAAACAAAGAAAAAAACAAAAACAAATTTGAAGGTGATGCCCTTTCTTTCATGAACCATTGGTGTTACTTGTTTTGTTTATAATGACCTATTCTGACATTAAACATCAGCCATGCCATATGGCGGGGCGTTTTGTTTTTGAAATTGGACTCATGTTTGAGGCCTTAGCATTTTGAGAACATGGGGTCAGTCTCTGTGAGGGGTCGTTCGGATAGAAAGGGATTTTACTTCTCCACCTCAGGCTGTGTCCTTGAGGCCACAATCAGTGGATGCAGGAGAAACGGGGGGGTGGATTTAAATCCCCGTGCCCAGGCCCCAGCTGGACCGGATCCCTCAGATTTTCCAGGGTGGGGCCCAGGGCACTAGTACGTTTTCAAGATCTCCAGGTGACTTCTGTGACAGCTGGGCTGCTGTTTTGGATATTTTGGGGTGCACAGCTTCCCCTGGGCCAGGGACCTCCCTGAGATGCTGCCTACCCTGATACACA